CTCTACGGTCGCTACATCGACGACTGTATCAGTGCTACCTCCTCTACCAGAGAGGAACTCACTCAATTCATAACCGCAGTCAATTCTTTTCACACGGCTCTGAAATATACCTGGGAAATTTTCTACAATTCTTTATCCTTTTTAGACATCAAAGTTTCAATTGAAGGTAACGGTTTATGCACTAGTGTGTATTACAAACCTACAGACTCGCATAATTACTTGTTATTCGTCTTCGCATCCATCTCACGTTAAGAATTCCATTCCTTTTTCTCAGTTTCTAAGACTTCGCCGTTTATGTAGTGATGACTCTGATTTCCACCACAAATCAGAGTCACTGTGCCAGTTTTCCGATGAACGTGGTTACCCTGTTTCTGTCGATTGCTTCTGTACAATGCAAGTATCAAACCGCTTTTTACTTATTGCTGTACTGTTTGGAGCAACTGTAGTCAAACCAACTTAGATGAACTGTTTAAACTTCAGAAACGTTGCGCTCGATTAATTTTGGATAGTCCTCGGGATGCACGATCGTATGATAATTTTCAAAAGCTTAAGTGGCTACCGGTCGATCAACTATTCAGTCTAAATCCCACAGGGATCAACGAACGCTTTTCATTCCACTAATTTACTCTTGTTTTTCTCGTTGCCATGTTCCCACCAATAACGTAGCTCCATTTTCTGCCTTTAAAAGCACACACAACCCACAATTCCTCTATTCGCTCCGACGAAAGGCCAACGCTCGAAACGTCAGCTTTTGTAATCGTTACGGTGGCCAATTTACCATTATTTTTAGAAGCCAAAGTCGAAGTTCCACTTGATCCAGAAGGCGTAATCGATTGTTGAGAACCAGGGGGCGTAGTATCGTCGATATTCGTTGTTGGGACAACCGAAAGTCCGTCATTGTTATCCATTGAACCAGTCGCTTCATTTATGACTAGCAATGGATCAATTACTCGTGAATTGATTTCATCCGGTTCTTCTATTTCGGCTTCGACCTCTTCCACCGCGCAATTCTCTATGGTTTCTTCGTCGAGTGTTTTTACCAAATTTAACTTCTCGTCTAGAGAAGCAGCAATACCCTTCAGGCGTTTCTTTTCCCCCGTTTCAGCCTTGAGAAGACCATCCGCTTCATTCGTTAGTTTTGTCATAACAGTCCTATTTCCACCTCGTTTGGCGCAAGTTCGTGGTAGTTTTTCGGCCATTTCGTGTCTTGTGTCTCAGGGTATCAATGCCCCACGTTGGTAGCCTGCGTCGCAGACAGTCTAAATCACCGGTATGGGCAGTCTGCGCAACGGCTCCCAAAAGCTTGTTCAGATATCCCGCTGTTTGTGTATCCATTTTTGATTGGCTAGTTTCTTACGCGCTCTCTGATTGGATAACTCTTGCGAAAGTGACCACACAAGTATTACGTAATGCCAAAAATAAATTTGTGTAGGTTTCCCAACTACTTTATAACAGTTGTACATTACATTAAACGTCAAATTTACTTCGAGCTGGAAATAAGATGTCTGCAACTACATAAGAACGTTGGCAAAAAGCGTTCAAAGCCGTGAGAGAGCAGTTTGAAATGGAGAATCTTCCACCTGAGAAGGAAAACGCACTTCGCGAATTTCTTGGAGGTCGAAATATTTTTGTAAATTTGCCGACGGGCTACGGTAAATCTTTGATTTTCCAGTGCCTTCCGATCGCTGCGGATGCTCTGTTCGGAAAGCCTCGTGGTTCCAGTGTTCCCGTTGTAATATCGCCGTTGCAATCGCTTATGGAAGACCAGATTCGACATCTAAACAACATGGGAGTGCCAGCGATCGCCATTACCAACGATGAGGATGTCGAAATAATCCAGCAGATTATGAACGGAAATTATGTTCTTGTTTATGGCTCTCCAGAGAGCTTGCTCTGTCGGAGATGTTCTTTGCAGAGGATGAACAGGAGATGAAACAATGATACGGGCAAAAGCCCGTCAGATCCATCGCAGACTTTTTTCGATGTTGGAGCATCGTGGTCGTCACTTAGCAGCTCCCCAGATCGTTTGACTGTAAGCGAATATTCCCTTGTAGTTGTACTTGTACTATATTCCCTTGGCTTTTGAGATCTGCTTCCCATTTTTCTGTTTGCTCGATAAGTTACCGACGTTTTTTCAGTTTCGCAACACAGTTTCGGCAGACGCACTTGTTTTCAATCGATCGCAAAGATATTTCCAAACTTTCAATCTCGGTGAGTACGTCGCGTCGAATCGTTTCCATCCCTTTGAAAGTAACACTCTTTCGTTTCCCTTTTCGATGACGCGACAGCATATATTACAATAATCGGACGAATCAAACATAACCTTTTCAACCTTTTGAAATGCAAAGCAAAGCTTTGTACAAAAGTACTTCCAATATACAATTTACACGCGACGATATTTATTTTTAACATTGCGTGATAAATTTCGCAAGAATATGACCAATCATAAGGCGCGTAAGAAAATAACCAATCAGAAATGAATACACAGATCCGTGGATCCCTGCGGGATATCAGAACAAGCTTTTGGGAGCCGTTTCGCAGACGATATATCCGGTATATCCGGTATATCCGTTGGGAGCCGTATCCGTTGGGAGCCGTATCCGTTGGAAGCCGTTTCGCAGACGGTATATCCGGTATATCCGGACACATCCGGCTGCAACGCAGGCTACACGTTGGGCGCCGTATAATAAACCAAGCGTAGGCGTAATTCCAACTCGTCTATTATGTGTCTAATGTGTAATCGCTTCTTTAGATATAGGTAATATCAGAATCGCTAATTTAATCAATTAACTGTCACTGTACAAACAAAACGAAATATCTGGTTTCACAGGTAAAGAATTTGTTCTCGCGTGGGGGCGTCTCCATGTTTCCGACAGAGGCTACCCAGAGGACCTCATCAACACAACCATCTCAGAGGTCAATTTCAAAAACAGGAAACTAACTCTTCAACACAAACAGAAGACGAACCACAGGAGGCCCAGACAAGCGAGGAGTCTGGTTATTTATTCGGAATATAAAGGAATGTATGGGAGAATATTTAAGAGTCTTATTATCGTAAACTTATATCATGAAATGTCTGAGTTAAAGCTCAAAATAAATGTAAACCTACCTCACTTACTGTGTATTGTCGTTTCTGTGGCTCTAAATTATGGTGAGTTTGAGCGATTTGGTGGGTTTTGCGTCGACTGTTACAAATTATATACGTTATAGCATACAGCCTTTGCGTTTCAAGGTGTAGAGCACATTCATGACGGTCTCAATGATGTTGTATTTTTGAGATACATGAAAACTTTTATTTATAAACACCCAAACCTGACCCCAAGGCAATTGTTTAGTTCTTAATTAAGGATATCCAAGATATTTGACGGCTAACATTGGCTTGGTTATTTGATGGTTGATGGTAAAACTATTGCGTTTTTGGCCGTTGACGGTTAATATTTTGGCTATTTGACGGTTACTAATTAACCCCATTGAGACCCCCATCCTTAATTTTCAGCAACTGCAGCGGAAATATATTGTGGCTTGCAAGTTACTGAATTACTCGTATTTTTCAACAAACAGTCAGAGCAATGTACATATTCTCCTTATTGAGCTAGGAAGATACTTGTGAACCTGCAATACAACAAATAAAAATAGTTGGTATCTCATCATTAGTACGAGTTATTTCTAACATTGTTACAAAGAAACTTAAAACATATATTGGTCACTACGAAATGCAATTTTTTTCTTGTACATCCAACATCAAATCAAACACATTATGCAAAAGCACAGACGAAAATATAATTATGACAATTTGGAGCCCGCTCCAAAAAAGAAAAGACTGCAACAGATAAGTTCTATAAACAAAATCAAATTCAAAGTTAGACAACAGCATGAGAGTGAGAAAACCCCAACTATTGGATTGATGTCTCTTGGGGGTGGAAGAAATCTTTACGCCACGCCTACAAACCTCTTAGTACCTCTTAGTAATTCTTTTTAGAACCACCGCGCACCATGAATGGTCAACACTCATAACAGCATGTCTTCCTGTAACCTGGCTTACGATCTAAGATCTGCTTGTTTCACCTTAAACTCTTTTACTCCTGAGATTTCAAAATCAATTCTTCTGAAAGTCTGTATACATTTCTGAAAACTTCATAGCTTGAGCTGAGCAGATCTCCCGGACTTTTGAGGACCTGTAGTCTTTTTCCAGGACTTTCCAGTCCTAGAAAAATGTCAAAATAGAATCCAGGACTTTCCAGATTTTCCAGGACTGGTACAAACCCTGTATTGCTCTAGGACTACCCTAATTACCACCCTTGGTGTGGAAAGAATGGCTGCTGTATCGCATGAGAAATCAAAACAGTAGCAAAAATAGGGCCAAAAAAAAAAGAAAGAAAAACCAGGCCTGTACATGAGTTGAACCCATGACCTCTGCAATACTAGCACAATGCTCCACCAACTGCTCCACCATACTAGTACAATACTCCACCAATGCTCCACCTGCTAACAAGCCAGCTGGGAGCTGGTCATTTCATTTATTCATAACAAAACTGTGAGGTAGTAATTAAAGAACAACTGCGAGTGTAAGTAGTCCAGTCTCATAAAGTGTTAGGAGTAATTTATGATACTCAGCTTAATTTTAATGAGCATATTGATAATATATTTAAGAAGCTAACATAGCGTATTGCTGTTTTTTAAAAAGTCAGGCGTCATTTACCTTTAGATCAACGAATTATTTATTAGAATGCCACGATAAAACAAAGCCTGATGTATGGCTCTAGTGTGTGGGTCTGTTGATAATTTAAATAGGGTCTTCGGGCTACAGAAGCGTGCCACACGCGTTATGCTCAAAGCTGATGCTAGAGCAAATAGTGTAGATCTGTCTAGAGAACTTAATTCGCTACCTTTTTTTCATGAAGCTATGATTAATCGGTGCGCATCAGTTTATAAACGTTTAAACGGGGTGGGTTCCGATTATATGTTAGAATTACCCAAACAAAACATCGACATACGTGTTACTGAAATTTGTTAGGGCTTTTCAAGTATCAGCCACTAGGTTTTGGAATTCACTTCCCAATGAGATTAAGAGTAGCTCTAGTTTAGAAATTTTAGAGAAGTCTTTATGTAAGTATAATAATAATAATAATAATAATAATAATAATAAAAGAAAGTACTCCCTACGGACAACCCGTTCACGTATCTTTGGATAGCAAGCTGCGTGCTGTACTCTGTTGTTATTGCATTTTTGTTGTACAAAGGTTGGAAAAAGAAAGGCCCGAAAAGACCATCAGCTGGAGAGAGTAAGCAACAGAAACGGCGCCGTTTGTACGTAGAAAAAGTATGTGAAATAAGGAAACAGATTTCAATTGCCAAAGCGGAAGTGGATCGCTTGAAAGAAAACCGAAAGCTCACCAAGAGAGGGAGAAGGAACCGGGAGATTTTGCACAAGGAATGCCGCACGTTATCGATAGCATCACTTGTCGGGTATATTGAGAAGAAGAAATCCTCTTTACGAAAACTGAAGAAAGGCTTTGTGCGAGGCAACAAGCTAGAGGAAGCAAGGTTGATTAATCAACAATTTAAAGATGATACTAGCCGGGTATATGCGGGCATGAGAAGAGTGTTGGCTAACGACCAAGAGAGTGAGCGTCCAAAATATGTAGACCCTGGGAAACGGGATGAGCAAATAGAGGAGAAGGTGTTTGTTAATATCGAAGAAGCAAGTAGCTTTTGGAAGGAATTATGGGAAGGGAGCGGAACGGG